AAATTATGGGCCAAAAATTTCATTTTTAATTAAGTGATTTGCAAAATGTTTGTAACAAAATATCATTTGACCATATCTTTTAATAAAACATGCCTCGCGTTTGTAAACCAAAACGTAAATCATAATAATATCAGAGTACAAATCCCAGAATGTCTCATAGTGCGGAAACACAAGAGCGTGTGTGTGATATGCCGCTACCGCGCCAGCTCCTTCCCCTTGGCTGAAGAGGTACCTGAAACAACCACTAAAAATCGTAAGCACGAAGCTTAGTGAGTTCCCCCATCGTACCGCATACCAAATAACCACATAACATATAAATATTGTCAGACATATCTGGGTACCCGACCTACCCCTTCGGTCCTCTCGACCGGATACTGACTAGCATATCTGGGTGCTGGTCACCCCTTCGGTCCTCTCGACCGGATACAGACTAGCATATCTGGGTGCTGGTCTCCCCTTCGGTCCTCTCAACCAGATACTGACTAGCATATCTGGGTGTTGGTCTCCCCTTTGGTCCTTTCGACCGTATACTGACTAGCATATCTGGGTGTTGGTCTCCCCTTCGATCCTTTCGACTGGATGCTAGGGACTATTTCACCCCTACCACTACCACATAACACGTATCACATAATCTATTCAGCATGGCTAGGCATGACTGCCCCTTCGGACCTATCGACCCGTAACCTGGGGACTATCTCCCCTACTATCTTAGGGTAAAATGACTATTTTACCCCCTGGTCAAAGTCAACTTCCTGGTCAAAGTCAACTTCCTGGTTGACCAGACTCGCCGATGGCTCGCTAACTCTCCGAGTCCCTTCCATTTGTTCTAGTTTTATACCTGTTTCTACTCGTCGAGCTTAGCGAAGACTCGACGCGTTCTTCTTCGATGCACACATACTGAGTCCAAGTTCATCCGACTCGCCGAGTTGAAGAACAACTCATTGAGTCTAAGGCAATCTTCATCGGACTCGCCAAGTTGCTCATCCAACTCGCCGAGTTCACGGCTATCTTCATAGGACTCGCCGAGTCCAACGTTCTACTCGCCGAGTTCATTCAGTCCTTTTTCCATACAAACCTGATTTGAGCCTGTAGTGGCTCCAAACCACAGATCTAGGCTTTTAATTGGAATCTCATAAGACTTCAAATATTTTCTGAGTGATTCTAAACATAGTTTTACTTCATTTCTAGTAAAAACCATCCGTTAGAACTCAACACTCAATTTTACATAATATTTCACAATTTTATTCATTACACAACACGATTTCAAAACGTGTATGTTACACTACCACTACCACATAACACGTATCACATAATCTATTCAGCATAGCTGGGCATGACTGCCCCTTCAACCCTATCGACCGGTAACCTGGGACTATCTCCCCTACTATCATTAGCACATAACATCAAATCATACAACACATAAACATAACACATGTAGTAGCAACCCTAGATGAATATCACAGAGACAACCATCTAATCATACAATTCCTACTAGTGTATCGACATTGTGGCCTTAGACCCACTACTACTAGAAGGTAACTCACCTCGAAGTAGCTGGTGAAAGTCTGCATGCTGAGCGCCTGACTGCTGAACCGGAACTCCCCGACTACAATTTCCATAAACACTAAGTCAAATACTGATAACTAATCTTAGGTTAAAATGACTATTTTACCCCATGGTCAAAGTCAACTTCCTGGTCAAAGTCAACTTCCTAGTTGACCAAACTCGCCGAGTTGGCTCGCTAACTCTCCGAGTCCCTTCCATTTGTTCTAGTTTTATACCTGTTTCTACTCGTCGAGCTTAGCGAAGACTCGACGCATTCTTCTTCGATGCACACATACTGAGTCCAAGTTCATCCGACTTGCCGAGTTGAAGAACAACTCATCGAGTCTAAGGCAATCTTCATCGGACTCGCTACAGATCTAGGCTTCTAGGGCATGCTTATCACGTAAAGTTGCAAACCACAGATCTAGGCTTCTTCGATGCACACATACCTGTTTCTACAGACCTGATTTGAGCCATGCAGCGGCTCCAAACCACAGATCTAGGCTTCTAGGGCATGCTTATCACGTAAAGTTGCAAACTTTACGTGCATGCATAGCTTTAGGGGCTTCAAATGTCCAGACTAAGCTCTTAATGGGGTTCTAAGCTCAAGAGGGACCTTAATCAAAAATATGACTGAAACTTAACACTTCTAGAAGGTAATGAGAGTCCAGATCTGAAGTATAACCCAACCATAAGGTTTCTCTACAAATTTGGGGTTTTAGGGCTTAAAAGCAACAATTTAGGGACAAACAAGATCTAATAGATCAATAATCAAGATGGAAACTTTATTACCAGGATGGATGACCACAAACGAATGTGTTCTGGATCTAAGTCCCCTTCCTTGACCTCTTCAACCTCTCCCTTCTTCCACTTGCTCCAATGTGCACCAAAAGTCCCTTCACAAGGCAACAATCACTCAAACTTACCAATGGAGGCTAGGGTTTCGATAAGGAATGCTCTGAGGGTGATGGAGGCTAATATGGGTCTATAAGGATGTTTAAATAGGGTGCAAACTCTAAGGATTAGGTTTTCCTCCTAACTGGCCTACTCGCTGAGTCTAGGCGTGGACTCGCCGAATAGATCACTTAAAGCCCGCATCCAACTCGACATCTACTCGGCGAGTTAGGGCTACAACTCGCCGAGTAGCTCTTCGAAAAAGAACCATTTAATCAAGATAAATACGTACCAGGAACGGGGCGTTACAGAGACATACTAGAGGATGTGGGGAAGGAGGAGGAGCGGCATCGGTGGATACAGCAACGCTGGGCAAGGACGGCGAATGTGTCGTTTAGAAGAGGAAATAGTGGTAAATATATCAGTTTACCTTGCGTTCGAAGATGTAGGGTGGGCAAGGAGAAGGAAAGCATGAGAAGGAAAAGGGCAAATACGGAACAAACGCTTTTCTTTCTCAGTCAGCTTCTTTTTTCTGTGGACTCGGTAAGAAGATGTCGACCTGGTAAGAGGCTATATTTATTGGTATCAAACACTCTTATTGGAGCCGGTAGGAAGTAATCTCTTACCAGACCCAGTAAAAGGGTAAATCAAACAGGCGCTAACATTGATGCTTTAATCAACACCAGCGCCCCACGGATCCATGATACCCATTTCACCCCAACTTATTGAATCATAAGCCTTTTCAAAATCGATTTTGCGAATCATAAGTTTCCTCTTCCGCTTCTTGAACCAATCTACTATTTCGTTAACCATAAGAGACCTATCAAGAATCTAACGGCCAATAAGAAATGTTGATTGCTCATGGCTAACAATGCTATCAATAACTTTTACGAATGGGACGTCAAGACCTTCACGATTATTTTATACCGGACAACGATTAATCTAATCGGCCTACATTTTAAAACCACAACGAAATTATCAACATTGGGAATAAGAGTTATTAACAAAGAGTTGCACCCTGACAATATCTTCCTCGTTACAAAAAACTCTTCCACAAACTCTTTCACTTCAGTCCAAATTAAGTCCCAATATTTTTTATAAAACTCAAATGAAAAACCATCAGGGCCTAGGGATTTATCAGAACCGCACTCCCAAATTGCTCCCTTCACTTCTTTCTCGAGACCCAAATCCTCTGACGCCTCTTTTTGGGTTCCATTTAACAATTTAAAATTTTCACTTCTTCTGTTAATGAAAGCAGTGTTAAGCTTCTGAAATTTTTCCTGAAAGAACCGATTTTTTTTGCTTAATTCGCTTGGGTTCAGTAACCCACTCTCCTTCCTCCTTGATGCCACGAATAACAAACTGTTCTTTTTTTATTATTATTTATGATCCCGTGAAAAAATTGTGTTTTCATCAACTTTAATTCCCCACTTCACTTTTACCTTCTGCGCAACATTAGAGATCTCAATCTTTTCAAAAAAAAAATCTAATCTAACAGGTCGTGAGAATTATCTCCGCCCTCGACTTCCACTACCATACCCGACAACTCATTTTTCTTCACATGCGTAGCCGAGAGATAAGAAGACTTCCACAACCGAATATGCTCCTTTAAAAACTTCATTTTGTTCTTGAAGACAATAAATTTGTTAGGCCCCATACACGGTACACCACTGAGCCTCCACCCAAATACAGTTTATCATGTCATAAAAACCTTCTAACCCTAACCACGAGCTGTATAACTTGAAAGAGATTGGCCCAAAGTCAACCGAAAAATGAGTAAAGAGGACTTCTACAAGCGAATTAAGAAGACTTCATTTTGTATTATATAATGATTATATCAGTGGCAGATTTAGTATAGGGTCAATGGTTGCCCGTGCAACTCTTGACTTTTCCGGACGCAATGTAAAATTTCCCAAAAAAATTCGAAAATTTTATTTTTTCTACTATCGTGCAACCTCTGACATTCTCATAACACCCCTACTATGAAATTTTACATCCGTCCCTGGATTATATACATTTCAATAACTTTTGATGTGTTAGCCCATTTTATCCTTTCAAATTTAACTTAATTTTTGTAATTTTATCTATTAAAATAAATAAATATATATATTTATAAAAATAAATAATAAAAACTATCGTTTGTAATTGAAATACTAGTATTATATTTCCTTGTGAATAGATGCACCAACAACTTTCCAATGCTGCCGGTGCACCGTCAAATTAGCAAACAACAACTTCTGCATTTGCTTTGTATTATTTTCATAATAAATAAAATTTCTTATCATATTAAACGCATAAATAATTTATTAAATATTAGAAATAAAATTGTTTTCATCAACCCAATTTGATTCATTTTATTCATACACAATATTATTTTGACCAGAACCTACATGCAACCAATTAATCAATGCATTTGGACCAATTTGATTAAAAATACCCGCTTCTAATAAAATATAGTACTATTCATTTTCTTTTCTGAAATAACTTTTAGCGAAAGCCACCAAATACTTTACTTTTAGGACCCTACCCTTTCCATAAATAGAAACAGCCCACTCACACTCATGCGCACAACACAATCACCCCTACCCCTTATCTCCTCAATCATGAATCACTCAACTTACCATAATCAGAAACCCAGCCCAACCAAATCCCATAAACACACCACCAAAAGACTCACCGAGGATCAAGTAAGATTACTTGAGTCTTATTTTGACTCAAGCAAAAAGCTTGAGCCGGAGCGAAAACATCAGCTTTCATGCCAGCTTGGAATTCCTCCCAGACAGATAGCCATCTGGTACCAAAACAAACGGGCTCGTTGGAAGAACCAGAGTCTGGAGCACGACTACACCATGCTCCAGCTCCAATTGGAGACCTCGTTGCTCGAGACAAAACACCTCCAAAAAGAAGTCGAACATCTGCGAGCAGAGCTCAATAAGGTACAATCAGAACAAGCACGACACAACAAATACTACAACAATGATTATCAACCTCTCATGGATTCTTCATTCTCTAGATGTGGTGATGATGTTGGAAGCTCATCCAAAAGCTTAGAAGATGATACGGAAGCTTTCTGTGGTTTCGGGAAACAAGTTTTGGATGCTGCAGAGATGTACACTGCAGCACGTATGATGGGGATGGATATCTTGCATTTTTCGGGTTGAAAAATAATGTATTTTAGTAATATGTCATGGTTTACCAGGCAGGTTTTCGACTATAATCATCCTAATCTTGTGTGCAAATATTGTATTATATATAAAAAAAAATCCTATAACATTCATGTATTTATTTTTTTCCTTGGCCAAATTTGATTGTACATATATATAATATATCACACCAATTATGTGAGATATTGAATTACAGTTTAATTTATAGTCTAGTAAAGATAATCTACGTACATGAGGGTCTTCAAAGGAACATAAAAATGGTCTTTTAGTATTCGTTGACTTCGTTCTACTGTTTCATGGTCAAAAGCCATCCTGGATGGGACCAACAATATAATCGGTTTATGAATAATTTGGCTTGTTTTTATAGCTCTACTTTGTGTACATGAAGATATCATAAAGAAATGCTCATGACATGACACTTGATTGTTACCTAAAATCGCCAAGTACATAAAAGGCATTGTTCATGTCTCTCATTATTTGACTTTGGATAATGAGTTGGCAAAATTAATATGGATAGATGAGGATATTTTCGATCGTTAATTAATTTAAAACTTGTATGTCATTTTTATATTATTTTTTGAGTAAGAAATTACAGACAAAACTCATTTGTATTTTTCAAGATTTAATGAAAAATTAAAAGGTTTTCAAATTTATCATTAATTTTGCAAATATTATCTACAATTGGTGAAATCATATGAGATATATAATGTTAGACGGAAAATAAAACGTTTTGTTTAAAAATATTATTCATTTGCAAATGGTATCTACAAAGTAACACCTTACATCTACGAAAATATCATGTTTTAACAATTTTGCATATGTCATTTGCAAACTGGCACGTTTCATCTTCGATATGGTCAATATATATGTTTTTTAGTATGATTACAATTAAATAGGAAATATTTACTTTCCACTTAACCACTTTATAAATTCACCTAAAATAAAATGAATGGAAAGATAACTTGAGAAAAGACAATGCTCTACTCTGAATGTATATGTTTGTATATTAGTCTATGAAGGAGAAAGATTAAGAATCTAAAAAAATAATTACGAGCCGCAAGTAACATAAAATTTACATGCTTAGTTCTATGTCAACATAACACTATCAACACTATCCATATGAGTTATTTTTTACTAACACGTTCTATATTTTCTCCAAATATATCATCACTAAATGTAAATTACTTTTATTATGATTGTTGTACAAAATAAATAATTTAGATCATAATATTAGATATATTTGTATTATGTTTGGTAAGAACTTTTGATATAATTAATTGATAATTCAAATTATTTTTCAGAACAATTGTCTATACCATTGCTTTTTGTAAATTATAGTTTTGTTTTTTATTTTACAGTATTTAATGACTTTTTATTGGAAAAATAACTTATTAAGATAACTAATTATTTTGTATGTTCACATCTAGGTAATATTTGTTTTTTGTACTCATTTACCCAACTAATTTGTTTCATAAGTTCACAAATAACCATTATTACCAGCAAACACACACAGGTCTTTTTCGGTTACATCGATTTAGGTCAATTAAAATGTATTATGTGGATTCTTACGTGGCTATTACACCCCCTCCTCAATTAATTAGGGTTCGTCTACTCCAAAAACACTTTGATTAACAGTTTGGGAGAAATCGATACAACAAATCGAAGGTGAATTTTGAAGATTCAAGTTGATGTCGACTGTAACATGGCATCCCAATCATCTACAGGTATGTACGTTCCTGTAGATTTCATTACAAGGGGGTATTTGCACCAAAGTTGTTGGTATACTTGGACCAGGTAAAAAAAATCGTTCGTGATGTGGATTTTGGTGGATTTACGTATAAAGAATTTCTTTTGTGGCTTATGAAATTAATCGAAGGAGATCGTGATAATGTCTATTACTATAATAGAAAGGAATTCTTGGTTGAGGGTATAAGAAGAATCGACAGTGATGTTGATTATTAGGAGTTTGTAGAAGCTGTTTATAGTGATGCTAAGTTGGATATGTACATTGATCACCAAAATGAACCAATTCTTGATTGGGCTAATAGTGAGGTTTTAGCAGATGATATAAGTGATGATAATGAGTATGACTTGGATGGAGAAGATGACAAGGACTCAAAAAAATTTGATACTACGAAATATGAACATGAACGTGATGAAGAAGTTTATACTTTTGACAAAACTGTTGGGGACAAATTTTTGAACAAACTTTTATGTTATATAAGTGATGATGATGAAGCCAACAATGGAAAAGATGTGGAGGTTGTGTTCCCTATCCATGATGAGAACCAAGAATGGGATCAAATGGTGCCAGTTGTAGGTATGAAGTTTTCTAACCCATTAGAATTGAAACTATGTCTTACCAACTATGTAGTCAAGAATAGGTACAATTTATGGTATGAAAAAAGTGATAATCAGAGGTTATTGGTAAAATGTTGTAAAGGTAAGAAGAATAAGTAGAATAAAGGTTGCCCCTTTAGGTTGTGGGATATCTGGATGTCCTCTGAAAAGTCATTCCAGATTAAATCATTGAATGATAGCCATAATTGCTCAAGAGTCTTTCAATTTGGGTCAATTGTTACCTATAAATGGATAGGAACTCATTTCATGCGACATATACTACACAGACCAAATATGAGTATAAAGACATTGAAAGGTAAAGTTGGTAAGAAATTTAATTTGATTGCAAGTGTTGGACAATGCAGAAATGCTAGGAAGTATGCATTTCAGGAGATAGAGGGTTCTTTAAAAGAACATTATGCCAAAACATGGAGCTATAGGGAAGAGATAAAAAGGACTAACTCTGGATCAACAGTGAAGATGGATTTAGATGTCATGCCTGATGGAACCACATACTTTTTAAAGTTTTTTTCTATTTAAAGGGTTTGAAAGATGGGTGGATTGAGGGTTGTAGGAGAATAATTGGACTAGATGGTTGCTTCTTAAAGGGCATATGTAGAAGGCGGTTACTTTCTGTTGTATGTAGAGATGCAAACAACCATATATACCCAATTTCTTGGGTTGTGGTTTCAGTGGAAAGTAAAGAAACATGGAAGTGGTTTATTGAAATTTTGATTGATGACCGTGGAATGGGAGTTGGGAATGGACTAACCCTAATATCAGAACAAAACAAAGTAAGCAATTTATGTTTTCTCTATCTTAGTACTACTTAATTTATTTAAGCTTATGTTTTTTGTCTAATGCTAACAGGGATTACTTGAAGCTGTGAAAGAAAGGGTTTCATCAGCAGACCATAGGAAATGCGCTAGGCATATATGTGCCAACTTCATGAAAAGATTTAAGGGCCAACAATTTAGGAAACTTTTCTGGTATGCTAGTGTAGCTACTATGCAGGTAAAATTTAAGCAACATATGAATGAAATCAAGAAATTAGAGCCTTCTGCGTATGATCATCTGATAGAAAGGGACCCTAAAACTTGGAGTAGAGCATTTTTTTCAAACTAATAGGGCTTGTGATGCATATGAAAATGAAGTATCTAAGAGTTTTAACTCAGTCATTCAAGCTTCCAGGAAAAGACCACTAATTACCATGTTAGAAGAAATCCAAATTTATGTGGAGAGGCTTTGTAAACTAAAGATCAAGGAACAATCTTGGGATTTAACCATATTTCCTTCCATAGATTGAAGTTGGCCAAGCTTAAAGAACATCAAATATAAGTGGTTTAATATGTATGTCCTTCATTACAATTTCCATATATATATATATATATATATATATATATATATATATATATATATATACACACACATACACACACACAATTCATTATGTGCGTGTGGATAGATTTTGGAAAGTTGTACCATCTGGCTATCAACAATTTGAAGTGAGGCTTGGATATGATGCATATGTTGTAGACCTTGGTAACAGGACATGTGCATGTAGAGGTTTGCAGTTAAATAGATACCCTTGTGTGCATGCATATGCTTGCATTTCAAGCCTCAATAGGGATGAAGAGGACTATGCCTCACCATGGTTTACCACAACAATATTCTTAAGTTATTATAGGTATACCATTAAGCCATTTAATGGTAGTGACATGTGGCTTCTTGTGGATTACATCAAACCATTGCCACCTAAAAGGAGAAGGCTACCAGGAAGACCATCAATAAAAAGAAAAATGGATCAGATTGAAAGGAAAACTAGGGAAGAAAGCATTCAATCACAAGAAGAAGATTAGTGATGAGATGCAGCATATATAGAGAAATAGGGCATAATATAACCACATGTCCTTAAAAACCAATTGAGGAATCATCAAATCCACCATCACAAAAAAAGAAAGCCAAAAAACATGGTATGTATGGTATATATATATATATATATATATATATATATATATATATATATATATATATATATATATATATATATATATATGTGGCATACCTCAACATATGTGAAGTTGAATTAACTTTTCAAGTCTTGCAAAACTGGTAAACTGGAGCATGAAGTTGAAATGGAAAGTGACATTAAAGTTGAAATGGAACCTGATAGTGAAGTGGATTCTTTTGAAGGTGAATTTGAATATTATATACAACTTGAAGGTGAAGATGATATAGAAGTAGAAACTGAATTCCCAGTTCAAGTTTAACCAGAAGTGCAAGTTGAAGTAGAAGCTAAAGTACCAGTTCAAGTTGAAGATGAAGTAAAAGATGAAGTAGAAGCTAAAGTGTCGGTTCAAGTTTAAGATGAAGTAAAAGATGAATTGTCAGTTCAAGGTCAAGGTGCAGTTCAAGTACAATACGAAGTAATAGCATTTCAAGTTGTAATGGGACGGAGGATAAGGAAACCTTCAAAAAGAATTACAAAAATTCAGATAAGAAAGAAGTGGGAGGGGAAAGAGGGGAGCACTAGTAACAATCCATATGATTTGGATTTGCTTTTGGCATCTTGGACTCTTGTTCCTGTTTTGGCATCTTTGACTGGCATCTTTAAATTTTGGAATTTTTAGCAGTATTGCATATTTAAGTGTGTAATGTTCAACTTTTCAAACATGTTTTGGCAGTCATGCATATTTAAATGTGTAATGTTTAACTTTTGCACATCTTTTGTAACAAACTTGTTCCATGGAATCTTTTACCATCCATTCCAATATTTTAGTCATGATATAGTCCAATTCCATTCCATTTTTAATATTTAGAAACCAATTACATCCCAATGTTTCATTACAATTCCATTCCAAATCTACTTAACCAATTTTCCATACCATCAAA